GAGCTGGAGAACGAGCTGGAAGCCGAGCAGAAGCGCAACGCGGAGTCGATCAAGGGCATGAGGAAGAGTGAGCGTCGCATCAAGGAGCTGACCTACCAGGTGTGGGCATGGTGGCTGCTCTGGGCTGGATCCCCTGCACCACTGCCTGAAGCCAGGGTGATACCACCAACAGGAATGAAGTGTTCTCTCTTAGCCTCCCCCAGGGCGAGGAGTGGGAGTGCAGCCCCCGGCTGCCCCGTTTCCACTCTGCCTAGCCCTGTTCTCCCCTGACTGTCCCCTGGCTAGAGGTCAACCTCTGAGCCTCTTGGCCTGGGAGCTCTGCCTCCAAGCTCACCCTCTACCTGTCCCCTGGGGACAACACCCAAAGCTCCAGACAGAGCTCACCCAGCACAGATTCCAAGAAAGCAAGTGTGTCGCCAAGCTCTGGCTGGGTGCCATGACCACCCAAATACACCAAAAACTGCCTCAAAGTCATTCAACACATCTCAGAACTTTTTGGTTTGTTTTCTAGAATCAGACTCCTAATTAGATTCTGCTTCTGTTCCAATCAGAAAGTTACCATCTCGAGACACACATGTCCTTAGAGCAAGTCTCTGTCATTTTCCTGTATCCCAGGAAAGCTCAGTATGCTGTCCCAGCATTACTGCCATTAGTGCTGGCTTCTAGAACAGGAACGTTTATCCTCCATGGGGCCCCAGGACCCTTTAAGGGCCTCCTCCCTGGAACAGCGCACACGCGTGGTTTTGGGAAGAATTTCAGGATTCCATCAGCTCCCTGGACCTTCCTGAAACAAAACATTAAAAATATTAATAGTTTTTTATGGTAAAAAAATTATAAGGAGAGTGCAAGAGTTTGTTGAGGATCAGAAAGTAGAAGTGGGTGAAGATATTACATTCCGGGTAAAGTCAACAAGCGGGGGGAGGGGACAGGCTGCCTCTCATGACCATGTCCTCCTCACTCCTAACCACCCCGCCCCCAGACGGAGGAGGACAGAAAGAACCTGCTGCGGCTGCAGGACCTGGTGGACAAGCTGCAGCTGAAGGTCAAGGCCTACAAGCGCCAGGCCGAGGAGGCGGTGAGTGGTCCTGCTAGGGCCTGGGCCTGGAGGAGAGACACTGGGGAGCTGCGCCCCGCCCCCGGCTGGGAGGCTGAGAGAACCTCTGACTTCCTCTCACCTCAGCCTCCCCGTCCCCGAACCCCTGCAGGAGGAGCAGGCCAACACCAACCTGTCCAAGTTCCGCAAGGTGCAGCACGAGCTGGATGAGGCGGAGGAGCGCGCGGACATCGCCGAGTCCCAGGTCAACAAGCTGCGGGCCAAGAGCCGCGACATCGGCACCAAGGTGGGTCCCTCCTCCGGGGCTCACTAGTCGCCCCGTGTCAGCACATCCGCCAACATCAGTGCCCCTCAGACCGAACCCACTCATGCCAGGGATGTCTCCTCTTCATTCACCCCCCACAACTGAACCCTGGAGCCCCAGAGGGCCAGGTAATGCAGTCCTCGGTGATTTCTAAGATTCTTCCAGCTCTAACTTTCAATGACTTTGTGAATGCCAGCCCTAGGGTGGTCAGCAACCTTAGAAGACCCCAATTTGTATACACCCACTATGTCCCAGTTCCCCCCAACTGCTGGTCTTCTCTCATCTTCCACCTAGTTTTGGCCTATAGCCTAGTAACTCAGCCCTAAAGTGGACAGCCTAGAGGACCCCCTTGTCCTCACTCAGGCAGCTTCCCTCTGGCCGACCTCAGGGCCCTCACCCCTCCACACTGACCCCTAGGACACATCTCTCACCACCAGGGGGGCCTCCCTCAGGCCCAGAGCGGTCCCCCACCCCATCGGGTGCCCCATCTCCCCTTTGTTTTCTGTGCCCGTCTCTGCCCAACACCCACCTTCCCAGAGTTAATTTGGACTTTGTTTCCTTTCAAAAGGGCTTGAATGAAGAGTAGCTTTGCCACATCTTCTTGATCTGCCCCATCCTGAGGGTGCTGATGAAGCCCCCAGTTCCAGAGCCTCTATAGCAGCCCCTTTGGAGGAAGCAGAATAAAGTTATTTTCCTTGAAGCCAAAATCCGGCCTCCAGACTCTTCTTCACTGCCCGCCAGCCACAGGGACATGAACATGGGGTGGGGTGGGGGGGTGGCCCCAAGGGAAGAGGGGCCGCTTCACAGACCACCCAAGGAGGCCTTACTGGAGAGCTTGGAGGCTCTGAGCATCCTCGGGGCAGCACTGGCCCAGACGCTCCCCTTCGTCTCCTCCTCAGCAGCTGACACCTGTCCTGTCAGCCCTCTCCCTGGTCCAGAGACCCTCCCCTCAGGGTTCAAGGTTTAGAAAAACCCTTAAGGCTTGCTTAGAGCACGCAGAGCCCATCTGCTATGGACTTACGCTGACCGACACGACCCCCACCACCACTGACAGCACCAGTGAGGGCCGCCCGGAGAGCCCTGTGAGGCGTGGGGTAATGGCAGGTGTCCGAGAGGGCACAGGGACTTGCGACTGCAGCCCATTTTATCCTTGTAGACACAGCCACCACTGTGTCCAACCACCCCGAGGCCAGGGCCCCCACCCCACCACAGCCAGAACTGTACCCTCAGCCCACCGTCCTCAGATCCCCCTTAGACCCCTCTCTGTCCACAGCGCTCCTTTCTTCTCCTTCACCCCTTCCTGCTGTAACTTCCTTTCCCAAGACCCTCCTCATCTGGGCTTGCTGGAAGATGAGGCATCTTTGGCCCATTTATGGCTGGCCATCTGGAGGGGAAGCAGGCAGATGAGGGACTGTGGAGAGGAGAGTCCTGTGTGAACAGGACGCTGGCGGGGGGTGGGGGCTGGGTACGGTGGCGGTGGCGGAGGGCTAGGAAGTGGAGAAAGGAGCAACCCCCGGAGTCACCGCCACACCTGGGCTGCTGAGGGAAGGCTTGGCCCTGTGAGCCACAGCCGGCAGGTGCTCACAAGGCATGGGGCTGTCAGCCACCCGCTGGGAACTCCGGAAGGCCTGGCTCAGCCCTGGACCGAATCTCCCACACCCAGCCACACAGCCGCTCCAGCCAGGCTCCTCCTCAGCCCCGCTCTGAGCACCCAGGAAGAGGGCTTACCCTGGGAAGAATCAAAGAATAGGAGCAGAGGGAGGCGGGGAGAGGGGGGATAACTGAGGAGGGTGGCAGTGGGGGGGGCAGGGCTCAAGAAACTGGGGGCCAGGGGGCCAGGGGAACCAAGAGAGAGAAGAGATACAAGCAGTGAGGAGGCCTCGGAAAGATCCATGGGCTCCCACCCTTGTCCTCGTGGCCCCCTCCATCTTCTCACCCCAGGACCACTTCTCTTCCTAGGAAGGACTTGGGGAGCAATGAGGAAGTCAGCGGAGGAAAGGGAGATGCATGGGAACCCTGAGAACACGAGCTGACTGCGGGAGCAGAGGAGAGAGGTGGGGAGCATGGTGGAGCCTGGCCACGGGCGAGAGGAGAGGGCTGATGGGTGGCGGAGCAGAAAGGCAGGGTGAACTTTGGAGAGAGATGCCACAGGAACTGAGGGGGATGCTACCGGGCAAGGGAAGAAATCCTGGGTCACTTTCAGATATGAGGAAAATCGGCAAGGCCAGGAGTAGTGACGTTAGAGAGGGGTGGACAGAGACCCTGGAGCAAGACGCAGAGGCAGAGATGAGACAGGCAGAGGGTGAGCAGAGGTAGGGCTGAGAGCAAGCAGAGACTCGTGGAAATGTCGGCATGTCAGCCCCCAGGATGGGCGGAAACCTGGCTCCAGGGAGACTCGGAGGCCAGGCCCGACTTTGAGACAGGGAACCAGGCAGAGGGAAAGGGAGGTCAGCCAGAGACAGACAGAGATCCAGGGAGCCAGGCACAGGGTGGCGACCTGGTGTCCCCTCACCTGTGACAGGAGTCTCCATCCCGTGCCCTCACACTCCAGAACTTGCAGCACAATGAGATGCTGCTGTGGGAGGCAGCTGAGGGAGGACGGAGCGCAGGGATGGATGTGAGAGCTGGCAGAGAGGAGGGGACCTATGGTGAAGAAGAGGGGGGGAAATGGACCAGAGAAGGGGCCCGAGCCCTGGAATCAACTTAACCTCTTCCCTCTTCTTCCTTCCATTGGAGACAGTGGGAACGGCCTGCCCACCCCTCACCCGCCACTCCACCTCTACTGAGTCTGGCCTGCTCAGAACACAGGGTTCCCTGAGGACAAAGCCTGGTCTTTGTCGGCTGGACCTGACCCAGCCTGACCTGGTGTTCTTAGCCCCTTATCACCTCCCCCAGGGCAATGGGAACCGGGCACTGACGCACTGGGCTAACCCCCAGCTTGCACGCCAGGGCCTCAAGTGACCTAGAGCTGGGGACAGGTGGTCTGCATCCCTTGGGGGGTAACACTTTGGCGTACGTACCTGAAGGAGATGTGGATGTGGGGTTGACGCAGGTTCCCCCCACCAAGGACATTGGGTATAGGGTACAAGTCCCCTGGGACAGATGTGTGTTCCTGAGTCTAGTAATGGGGCAGTGGAGGGTCCTAGGGAGTTGGGGACCTCGGAGGAGAAGCCAGATATTTAATGGAAACCTCTCCTACCCAGAGAAACTGACCCTTGTCTGTCCTACCCCCCTCCACACTCTAGAGCTATATTGAGAGGTGACAGTGGATGGGGTGGGAGGGGGGAGCTGGGAGAGTGTTCCTGAGTGTGAGGGTGTGGGGGAAAGCCAGAGCAGGGGAGTCTGGCTTTGTTTCCTGAACACAATGTCCACTTAGTCATACCAGGCACGGCCTGCTGAAGACCCGACACCTACTGCCTCTGAGAGGTGCCATCGATGGAGACCAGGGAGGGGGGCCTTGAGGGCCTGGGGCACTCGGGGATGCCCGCAAAGAAGGGCATGTGAGTATGAGCCCCAGGAGGGTTGGGAGAGGACACCAGAGTTCTACCTGAGGAGGGGGAGATGGACTGCAGAGCCCCCCCCGGCCCCACCCCACGGAATGCAGAGCTTGGGGCCCAGCTGGTGTAAATCCCTGGGCCTGCCAGGCGCCCCAGCCAGCCTCAGCAGCACCTGCACCCTCTGGCAGCCCGGAAGGGAGTAGCCCCCCACCCCCACCCCTCCTCCCTCGGGCCAGGATTAACGCCTCTTGCCTTTCCCCAGCAACCCCCCCATCCCACACCAGGAGTAGTGGAGGGTAAAACTTCTGTGTGTGAAAGTGGCTGTGCAAATGTGCGTGTCAGTGTGCCTAACAGCAAGTGGGAAAATCTGTGATCATAAGCGTGTAAGTGTGAACGATCTGCATGTGTGGGGCTAAGAATGCACACGGACCATGCGATTTCCAGGTCATTAGGGGAAGGTACTGGACCGTGGGTCTGAGTGCAAATCTGCTGTGGTGGCCTGGGAGAATTCCTTCTCCTTTGAGAGGACAGATGGTGGCCACTGTATCGGGAGCATCGCAGGAGGGGCCAGGGGCTCCAGATGTGTCCCCAAAGCAGCACAGCCTCAAGTCCTCAGGAGGATACCTGCCTGGAGATTTGGGGAACAGAAGGAAACCAGGCACTGTATTTGTGCAGAGAGAGGGTAACACAGACATCTTCTTTTTTCTAACAAAGGGAGTCATGGAGCTGGGCAGTAGATTCCCCTTGGTGGGCATCCCAGCCCCAGCTCCCAGCCCCTAGCACTGTGGGACTTCAGGTCAGAGAGGGTGGGCAGATGCTCCCAGCCTGGGGCTGTGTGAGAACAGGCCAGGGTAGAAACGGGTAGAAGGGTGGGGAACCCATGGCTGGGGGGCAGGGGACAGCATCTGGCCTGTAGGAGAAGGTGACTCTTGCCCAGTGTGCTCAGCTCACCCTTCAGGTTAAAAATAACAAAGGTAAGGGCCTGGCGGGCAGGGGCGTTTGTGCGAGAAGGTCCTGTCTTCCTGCTATCTGCCCATCAGTTCTTTGGAGGGAAGGAATGTGCCCAAGGACTAAAAAAAGGCCCTGGAGCCAGAGGGGCTAGGGTGACAGACCTTTCATGGGCAAATCTAGAGGCCCTGCTGTCCTCCTGTCACCTCCAGAGCCAAGGGATCAAGGGAGGAGGAGCTGGGAGGGAGGGTCCCTCCGGAAGGACTCCAAATTTAGGCAGGGGGTGGGGGCAGCGGGATATAAAGGAGATTGCTCCCGAGGACAGACAGACACTCCTCTGAACAAGGTAAGAGGGAGTTTGGGAGACTCTGTGGCCAGTCCCCAGAGCCCCCACCTTGAGGGACTCTGCCTTCTCGGGGAATGGGGTGCAGGGTGGTCTGAGGCCCAAGGGTTCTGCTAAAACTGCCTTGCTCCAACCCCAGGAAGTTCCCACTGACAGACGGGAGGTTCCCAGGGAAAAACCAGAAACCTCTTTTCTCCTCTGATCTGCCTTTCTTTCCCTGCCTCTGCTGTCCCCTACTTTCTGTATCCTCCATGCTCTGTCTCCATCCTCCTCCCACCTTGGATGGCTTTCTGCTCTTTGTCTGGTTTTATTTTGTCTCCTGGTCTTTGTCAATACCCGTCACTGTGGTACTTCTTTGTCTGTCCCCTTGCCCTTCCTTCCTGGCCTTGTGTTCTAATCGCCTCACCTCTCTCTATTTCCAACTCTGATCCCACCTCCGCCCCTGGCGCTTTCACTAACTCTGCATCCTTTCTTTACTGACTCTCTGCCTCTTCTCTCTCCCAAATTCCCCATTTGGTCTGTCCTGCTCATCCGGCTCTTTGGGTCGATCCTCCTGGCTCACTTCTCCCCAGTGGCCCTTCTCCACTGTTCTTCTCTCTCCTTGTCTGGTCTTCCCTCTGCCTACCTGTGTCTCTGTGGCTCCACCCATGGTCCAGGGTCTTCAGGATTCCCTGTGAAGAGATAACCAGGTGAGAACCACCCCCAATTTTCTCGTGGGAGCCAGGTTGCTGGACCAGGGGCCCCTCTCTCTCCTCCAGGCAGCTCAGCACCTCCCCGTGCAGACCCTTAGAGATGCTCCTTCAGCATTGTGTCAGAGGGCAAAAGAAGTAGAACCTGAAGCATGGGGAGGACAGGACCCAGGCCTGGATCTTCTCAGTGGGAGGGAAGAACATAGCGCCAGGTGGTGAGGAGGTGTGGCCAGGAGTGGGTGCCACCCACTGAGGCTTGGGCCCTCCCGTCGCAGGCGCAGGGAAGCACTAAAATGACGGATGCGCAGATGGCCGATTTTGGGGCGGCAGCCCAATATCTCCGCAAGTCAGAGAAGGAGCGTCTGGAGGCCCAGACCCGGCCCTTCGACATCCGCACTGAGTGCTTCGTGCCCGATGACAAGGAGGAGTTTGTGAAGGCCAAGATCTTGTCCCGGGAAGGGGGCAAGGTCACTGCTGAAACAGAGAATGGCAAGGTGTGTGGGGCATAGTGCCATGGAAAGGGAGAGAAGGTTTGCGGGGGGTTGCATGGGGGAGGCACTTGCCGTGGGAGCTGAGGGCTCTGGAGAAGAGCCAAAGTCAGCAGGAGCGCAGGACATGCCTCCTCGAGGAACCCAGCTCTTCGATGCGAACTCTGACGTTTCTCAGATGGACCTGAGCAGGTGTAACAGGGCACCACACCAGGGATGCGCGCCCTTCGCCAGAGATGGTGCTGGGGCAGGGGTGGGGGGACCTCCCCTGGTATCTGCCTCAGCAGGGTCCTGGAGATAAAGAAGACACAGACACGGCACCAAGTAAAGTTCCCTCTTGAATGTGTATCCCTCCTCTCTGTGCCTCAGTTTCCTCCATGGACCAACACCCCCAAATCCACCTCACTCAAACCAAGAGCAAACTCTTAGACCCAGATGAACACAAAAAGCAGGAACTCTTGAGCTGAACGCTCAGTCCCGGGGCTGGTGACTAGCACTCAGAAGTCCACAGTACCTGCTTCCTCACACAAGCCGTGAGAATTGCCACTGGTCACTAGCAGCAGCTCACAACCATCTGCCTTCACACATGCCGACTGAATGTTGGGTCCCAACGAGGTGGGCAACGACAGGCCACAATCTGCTGGGGACTTTGACTCTGATCCTGGCTCTGCTACTGGCTATCTACCAAGCTGGAAAACCATTTAATTATTCTAGCCCCAGCTTCCGCTGCTGTCAAAAACAATACTAGAATACCTACCTGCAGGGTCTGATCACGTTAGGGCATGGCGAACTGACCGGTGCCAATCGAACCACACTGATGGTGACCAATGGGGAGTGTAGGGTTGGTAGGTGAGATGTTTTCCAGCAGAACAAGGTTTGCCCTGAGCAACTGATGCCCACAAGCAATGCCCCCAGGAGTCAGGGTAAGGTGTGTGCCCAGATTGGAGAGCTGCCAGCCCTGCCAAGTTTGCCCCTAGATGCTTGAAGCAGGGACAGAAAGGTGCTGTCCTGGGGCACTGGCAAGACACAGAGAACCTAGCATGGGAGGGATGGCAGTAAGTTGTCTGGGGAAAGTGCTATGGGGGAGCCACGGGGCAGGGCTTGGGCACTGGTCGGAGAAGAGTTGGGGGAGTGAGGCCAGGTCGTGGCCCATGTTCTGGGAGGAGGTAGGTGGGCGAGGCTGGTGAGTGCCGACTGGCAAGGTGGGAGTGTGGTCATCCCTGTCCATGCACCCTCCCAGACGGTGACCGTGAAGGAGGACCAGGTGTTGCAGCAGAACCCACCCAAGTTCGACAAGATCGAGGACATGGCCATGCTGACCTTCCTGCACGAGCCCGCCGTACTCTTCAACCTCAAGGAGCGCTACGCCGCCTGGATGATCTACGTGAGTGCACGTGGCAGGAAGCCAGTCTGGGATGGAGGCTAAAGTAGGCCAGGGCAACTCTCTCAAGGCAAGGGGTCAGAACTCTCCCAAGGGGCCCAGCTCCCTTCTGCCCCCTTCCTACCCCTGGTCAGCTGCAGGAAGAGAGGACCAGCTGGGGTGACCAGGGACTCCCCTGCCTGTCACCACCTGCCCCAGGCTTCCCCCTCCAGCCCCTCATGCCTGCCCTCTCTCCTGCTCCAGACCTACTCGGGCCTCTTCTGCGTCACCGTCAATCCCTACAAGTGGCTGCCGGTGTACAACGCAGAGGTGGTGGCCGCCTACCGGGGCAAGAAG